AGTAGGGCGGCCGAGGCAAGAATGGGCAAAAAGCTTGTTCCGTTCTGTTTCACAGCAGTTTGATACACAGGAGCAGATGATGGCTTGCGCTAGTGATCCAGTTGCTTGGCGCAAATTCGAAGTTGATTTTGCTTATTCCCCCCCTCCTCCTCCTCCTCCTCCTCCTCCTCCTCCTCCTCCTCCTCCTCCTCCTCCTCCCCCTGCTGCTGCTGCTCCTACTCCGCCCCAGCCGCTGGCGATGTAGATTAAGAGGCCGCACAGGCGCCGCCGTTCCCGCAAAGCGGAGATTTCAGGCGGGCAGTATTTTATTTCGCCCACGCGCTGCGGCGTATGGCATGACTGACTGAAGGACGGCAGGCAAGTACTTTTCGATGCAGAGGTCTCGCCCGAATAGCAAGTCCATGGAATACTCATCAGTCCAGGCGGCGCGTCCGTAGTGAAGGGGATATTTGCTGGGACGAACGAGGAGGGGACGTGGGGCGGGAGGGGCATTGCACCATCGCTGGGGCATCTGGGCGTCGTCTAGTCCTGACCCCATCCTCCTGCTCTCTCCTTCCTCTATAATCCCAGGTCCATTATCCCTGCTCCTACCTCGCACTATGTTCCAACTCATCAATACTCCTCTTACCCGTCGCGTTCATGATCGCACTCATCACATGAAGTTTCTTTCCTTGCTTTCCCTTCTGTTTCTCTCCTCCCCTCCGCCCACCAGCTCCTCCCACATCCCTCTGCTTCCCGCCTCCTGTCTCTCCCTCCTTCTCGTACTCCCGGTCACTGTCGTCATTACCTTCATTGCGATCCTCGTCCTCTTCCTCCGCCTCCCCATGCTAATCACATCTCTATCACAGTCCCGTCGTGCTTCCCAATCCCCTGTTCCTCCATCTCCTCCTTCGTTCCTTCTTCCTCGCCTTCCTTGCTCCAAGTGAAACCTCCCCCACCGCCCTCGTCCTGCGTCATAGACCTCTTCCTGATACATACCGTTTCCCTCGTCGTTGTCACTGTCATCCTGTCATGCCTCCTCCTCCCCCTCCTCCCTGTTGTTTTCGTTTCCTGCGCCTCTTACCCCCCCATCCTCCTTATCCTCCTCCTCATCACTCCCCCCTTTGCTTTCGCTTCCAAATGGCTTGGCATCGCTTCGCGGGCACCCCTACCCAGAAAGCGTGGGCCACCGCCATCAACCAGCACCCTAACCATCACCAGGAAATGCGACACCGGAGAGTATGAAGGTACACTTCGCGAGAGGGGATGGGGTACCCGCCAGTCGTTGAAAATTGTTTTTTCTTGTATTCCCATATTACAATATACTTTCAGCGCCTTCCCACTTCGACCCGATGGTTGCCTCCTGTAAACGACTACCACCAGGACGGGCCGAAACCCAATCCAATTTCACCGCCTACCAACTGAATCTTTTGACCGACGTCTTCCGAACGGCGGGTCGTACTGCTTCCCCCCGCGCGAGATCCCGAGATCCCCCCCGAGATCGAGATGGCCGAGACGGCCTAGATGGCCTAGACACACCTTCGTGGCGGAATAGTCTGGGATCAGGCCTTTCAAGGGGGAAAGGGGGGGGGGGGGGGGGGGGGGGGGGCAAATTGGGCAAATCAGTGGCCTCCAAGATGGCCCCGAGAGGCCCTCCAGGGCTCCTACGGGGCCCCCTGAGCGGGCTCCAAGAGGGTCTCAAGATCCCCCAGAAGAGCTCGAAGAGACTCCTAGATCACCCCAAGAAATCCCAAGAGGGCTCCAAAAGAGAAGTGATTTTGAGGGCTCGTCCTCGTTGTCCTCCTCCTCCTTCTCGTTCTTCTCGTCCTCGTCCTTGCCCTCATCGTCTTCCTTCTTCTCCTCCTCATATTCCTCGTCATCGTGGTCGCCGTCGTCGTCGTCGTCGTCATCCTCCTCCTTCTTTCTCCCTCACGCGGGCTCCAGGGACGGCCCGAAGAGGGCCCCCCCCCCTGTTCCCAGAGATTTCTCTGTTCACGCTGGTTGCCCACTTTGTTTTCCCATATCTGTCTCTTCGTCCATTTTCGCGTCAGCTCTCATGGGCGGGGTTTCTGAATGGGCTGGTGAGGATACTTTTGATCGCGACCGCGGCGAGAGAGGTCGGGTGGCGTCCAGGAGCGAAGCACACGGGCAACGGCCTAAAGTCGCGCACAGGGAGAAGGAGGGGCGATAAGAGACAAGAGAAAGCGGGGAGAGGAACAAACAGGAGGCGAGCCTCGCTGCCGCTCAAAGGAGGGCGCACACCAGGAAGATCTTCCAGGCGAAGTGCAACACCAAAATGGTGGAATTCAAATTGGCCGACAACACGAACACGCCGAGGACCACCAGCAGGACGAACAGCAAGCCCACGGCCAAGCCAAGGTACCGCGGATGTGAGTGACTGCGATGTCGCGTGCCTCGGTAGATGTCATGCAGGCGCTCAACGGAGCAAATCCGGATCGCCAGACACCGTCGAGACAGGTGTCGGGGGGTGCCGTCAGGGTGGGTGCGAGCAGCACGCGCCACCAGGAAGGCTTAGGGGCCCAGCCTGAGGACCGACAAGGATGAGCCTGCGCGGTGGGGGAGGACTGGGAGTCCGTCGACCCCGTGCGGGGAAGGAGGCCGTGGGCCCAAGAATTGGGGCCGGCAGACACAGAGAGGCAGCCGGGGACACGGGGACGACAGAGAGTGACGGTCCGCGCCGGCCGTCATGGGGGAGACCGGGCTGCACCTGGAACAAAGCAATGGCCGCCGGGCAGGGCGCCGAAGGGGGGCAAGCCATGGCAGTGAGTGAGCCCGGACGCTCTGGAGCCCCCGAGCCAGAGCGAGGCGGAACGCCGAAGGAACCCCGAGCGCCCCACGCAGGGCGGGGCGCAGGGGGGCGGCCCAGCACTGAGAAGCGAAGGGCCACAAGCAACCCAGACGCACTGGGAGACTGGGCGTGCGCCGACAGCCCCAACGGGGCGCGCGCCTGGCGGCATGGCCGCGGGGAAGGCGGGCGGGGGGCGAGGCAGGCGGAGGGGGAGACAAGGCCGAGCTGCGCCAGTGGCGGACGAAGAGCAACGAACGGTCGCGAAACGGGTGAGTTAGGGGAAGCCGACGGAGAACCGCCGGGGAGAGACCCCCACGGAGGGGGGGCCAGGAGACCAGCGCCCTGGGCCGAGGGGGTGGTTTCCTTGCGGCCGCGCGCGCAGGGGCTGGAAGGCCAGTGCGGGGGGACAGCAGAAGACAGGCGGGGACCCGCGAGAGAGAGGCCCGCGACAGCCATGCGGCAAAGGAGAGGCCCGAGCGGCGCCTTGTGCGGGACGAGGCCACAGGGCGGGTGCAATGGGGAGCGGACACGGCGGTGCGACGCACCGGACGCCCCAGAGGTCTCGCAGCAAGAGACAGGGGGGGAGCGCCGAGGAGGCCCCAGGCGGCCGCCTAAGGCGGGGGCGGGGGATGTGGAGGATCACAAGTTACCCAATGACAAGGGCGCCTTGGGAGACCGGGCGCGGGCCGACAGCCCCAGCTGGGCACGCGCCAGGCGGTATTGGGCACGAGGCCAAGGCGGCCACCGGGGGGGCCGCAACTGGGGCGTCGCGGGCGTGGGGGGCGGCAGGGAGGCCGGCGCCCGCGGGGGGAGTCGTGCTGGCAGCAGACGGTGAGGCGACTAACGGTCGCAAGTTAGGTAGGGTAGCGGGGAATCGCGAGGTGCAGGCGAGTAACAGTCGCGGGTCTTGGTGAAGAGGGAGCGTAGCAAGTGTTGGGTGTGAAGCGATGAGAAGGCTCCAAGACGCGCGGAGGAGCCTACTGCCGTACCCAGGACCGGCGGGTGCTCGCGGCACGACTGGTGGCCCCCTGGTCTGGCTGCCAAGGAGCTCTGGCTGCGCGATAGTCTTTGCCCTTGCCCTTGGCTGGTGAAGATATTTTTTTGGTCGCGGCCGCAGGCGAGAGCGCAAGCGGCGACTCGTAAGTCCGGGGCGCGGGCCTACTAATTGACAACAGGAGCAAGCTAGAGCCGCGCACCCAAAATGCCTAAGCTGCCTAAGCGGCGCCTCGAGTGAGCTGCAAGCTGCACTGAGTGTGGATGCCAGGGCCAGGGGCAGAAAGCGCACACACTGCGTCCATGCAAGCATGGCGGTGGCTGCCAGACTGGAAATGCTGGTGAAGATACTTTTTTGGTCGCGGCTCCAAGGAAAAACCCAGGGAGCGGTCACAAGGTCCGGGGCGCGGTACGATATGAATTTGCGAACACAGCCGCCACTGTCGGCAGCCAGTCCGCACCTGCAAGCACGCTCGCAGTTGCACATGCACAGAACAAAATGAACTGAATTCAAAGAGACGCATCTTAGCGTCGACTGGGAGTACCTGGGCGCGGGAAGAGTGCGAGGAGTCGCCGAAATGGCGCCAGCTCAAGCAAAGCGACGAAGGGGGGGATGAGGAGGGAGCGAAAGCGAGCGACGACCACAGGCACACTGCTGCCGCACGAATACGATGGAGCGGCAAAGAGGCCTGCCTCATCAAGGCACGCTGAGTCTGAGGTGTAACTGAACCTCGTCGACGCGCCATGCAGTAGAAAAACCACTGGTGTGGGTGCTGGTGAAGATACGCGAAGCGTGAAGAACTTCTACGTCAGTGGCAGTGATGAGTAGCAGCCATCAGTAACGCACACCAGTAACACATACCGGCTAAATAGCACATACACCAAGAACACCCACACGCACACACTCACAAACAATATACCGCGCACACACATTAACAACATACACCAGCAACACACATGGATACCACATAACAGTAACTGGCCTCAACCTCAAGTACACTGGCAGAGAGACATACTACAATACCGCAGTGAAATAAGCCACATCGTGTTTGATAGCTACTCCGAGTTTCTAAAAAAAGGCGTCGGGGGGGCGTCACCCCCGCCGACAGCCCCACATCGACTCCGTGGAGGGCAGCCACCGCGCACCGAAGGCGCTCCGACCCCCGTCGCGGCGCGACGACGAGGCGAGGTTGACCCCCGTCGGAGGGGTACCCCCCCACACGCTTGTTAAGAAACCCAAAGTCAGCACTTTGGCCGCACTCTGGAAATCAGGCGCGGACCAGCACGGCGCGTGGGCGCGGCACGGACGCGGCATGGCCAGCACTTCTGGCATTGCTCTTCGGAGAACTGGGCCCCTTAGAGCCATCTCTTTCAGGGAACAAAACTCGTTGTGAAGATACCTCTTGACGCACTGAGACTCCTCTTGGCGGGGGGATCTCCCGAACGAGCATTTGTTTGTTGTCTGACTTCTCTCCCTCTCTCTCTCTCTCCCTCTCTATGTTTTGTTTGTCTGTGTCTGTCTGTGTTGTCTGTGTCTGTCTGTGTCTGCTTTTGTCCGTGTCTGTGTCTGTCCATGTGTGTCTGTGCCTGTCTGTGTCTGTGCGTTTGGAGAGGTCCCCGGAGGCCCCCAGAGGTCCCACGAGAATGAACAGCTACACCTTCTAAGAAACGGTGCGATGTATGTCATCCGTGGGCCATTCTCCCAAGCAGCGGCGAGCTCTGGCCGCTCGGCCGCCCCTGGGGCCGACCGTTCAGATGGCCACTGCTCGCTCCCGGGGGTGCCGTGGTCGTCAACCTGGCTATGGCTTCGTCGTCTGTTGCGTTCCAGGTGTGCCGTGCTCGTCCCACGGGCTGTGGCTTCGTCGTCTGCTGCGCTCTGGGTGGTGCCGTGATCGTCCCGCGTCTGTCTCAGAGGCCGGTCTGGTGTGGTGGCGTCATTTGGCGCTCAGCGCGGCACGTCAATCTCAGAGGCCGGTTTGGTGGCGCCACTCGGCGCTCACCGCGGCACGTCTGTCTCAAGGGCGGTCTGGTGGCGCCACTCAGCCACTCGGCGGTCACTTCGGCATGCTGTATGCTTGCATTGACTTTCCTCCCATGGGTGAGCATGCAGCGCATCCGTAATCATTTTGGCTAAAGCCCCAACGGGCTTGTAGCTAAGAGGTTAGACTGTTACACGCCCGAGCACAGACAACGCATGGGAAAAAACAACGTTCCGACCCGGAACGCATCGAGGCAGGACTCAAATACGGGCCAGGACCGAGTACTACGCAAAGGGAGTGGCGAAATCAATCACTCCAGAACGAGGCCAATATAGAGGCCAACGGAAACGAGATATCCCCAAACCTGACATAACATGTATATGTCTGTCTCTGTCTGTGAATGTTTGCGTCTGTCTGTATCAAAGAGTGCCTGTGCCTGTCTGTCTCTCTGTCTGTCTCTGTCTGTGTCTGGTCTGTCTGTGTCGGCCTGCGTCCGTCTGTATCAAAGAGTGCCTGTGCGTGTCTGTCTCTCTGTGTCTGTCTGTCTCTGTCTGTCTGTGTCTGTCTGTCTGTGTCTGTCTGTGTCTGCCTGTGTCTGTCTGTGCCTGTCTGTGTCTGTGTCTGCCTGTCTGTCTGCCTGCCTGTCTATCTGTCTGTATGTCTGTCTGTCTGTCTGTCTGTCTGTCTGTCTGTCTGCCTGTCTCTCTCGTTTTATCCTTTTCTCCCTCTTGCTCCCTCTCTCTACACCTCTCTCCATCTCTATCGCTCTCTCCTTCTCTCTCTATCCCTCTATTTCTCTCTCTCTCTCTCTCTATTCCTCTCTCCCTCCCGATTGTTTGCCGTTTTTGTTGTTCTCTCCCTCTCTCTCTCTCTCTCTCTCCCACCTCACTCGTCCTAGGCGGCCTGGCGGTAGCGATCGGTCCATTACTCGCGGGGTTCACCATACATCGGCAACCGACTCGGAAGCCCGTCTCTAGCGACTGAATATTTTCAACGGCGAGCTGGGAACTGTTTGCGGTACGCACTGTTGCTCCCTTTTGAACCTTGCAACCTCGTGATCTGGCATTCCTCATCGCCGCCAAATCGTAACGTCGCAGAAAACAGAAGACACGACAACAGCTGACGACCCAATCTCAACGGCTAACATGCTGGATCAATATATGAACGAAGCCCGTCGTGGCCGTCGTCGCCACTCTCGCGCCGCCGTCGTCGCACGACGGCGGAAACAACCGTAGTTTTTCTTCACGACCAAGGGATCCAAGGTCAGCCCCCTCCTCGCCCCGGCGACGGCCGCAACCTGCGGAGGCGCATCGCTAGATCTGCCGAAGCGCACCGTCGACAACAACAGGGGCACTCTCCGCGACGCTCCTCTTCCCTCCTCCTCCTCCTCCTCCTCCTCCTCCTCATCATCATCATCATCATCATCATCATCCTCATCCTTCTCCCCATCCCCCTCCTTCTCAATCCTTTTTGTTATGGAAAAAACTCATCTTTGTCGCGTCCCCAGACGTGTCGGACGGGTGGGCTGGGCTTTCGCCTGAAACTGATTCATCATTTATGGTTCTGCATTTTGTTTGAAAATTGCCAGTTTCTCAGATGTATTGGTTTTCGAAATGTGGCTCTCGCCTCAACGCCGTGCAGATGCGTTAGAGGTTTCACACATGGAGGGCGGGTCGTTTATATAATGTGGCTAAAGGATTGGAGGGCGGGCGGTGTTCAAAATGTGACTCTCGCCTCCGCGCCGAGCACATTCGTTTTGAAAGTTTGCAGCAGGCTAGAATACTCGCAAGGTCGAAATCCCAGGAGCAGCACAACAGTCGCGCTGATTCGCGGAGATGTAGTCCGGGGAATTGGTCTCTGCCACGACTTAGCATTGTCAAGACGCAGCAGTCGCGTTGACTCGCGACGCTGAAATTCCAGGCATGGTGTTTGGCACGGCTGAGGATTCTAACACAGTTGTCTTGCAATGGGACATTTCCGACAATGGAAACTATTTCTTGTAGGGCCCTACGGAAAAGGAGCTTGGGGGGAGGTTCATGGCAATATCGTGGATGCGTCTTCGGCTTGCACTCGTCCTGCTCCTCCTGCCCCTCCTCAGCCTCGTGCTCCTCCCCCTCTCCCTCCCCCGCCACGTCCCCTTCGCGCTCCCTCTATCCCTTCTGCTGCTGCTGCGCCTGCTGCTCCCGGAAGCCGCCCCGAAGCCCCCGAGGCCTCCCGATGCCGGCCGCGAGGCGGAGCTGCCGCCCTGCTGCGCCTGCTGCCCCGCGAGGCGCCGGGCGACCCCAAGGACCTGCTCCAGGGCGGCCATGGCCTCCCCAGGGGTGCTTTAGGGGGAAGGGCGAGGCGAGGGGGGCTTCTGGAATGGTGGGGGGGGAGGAGTACAGTCGGACTTGATTGGAGAGGGCACGCGAGAGGACACAAGACCCTTCCAAGGGTCACGTTGCCACAGGAATGTACGAAGCATGGGTCGCGAGACACAGGAAAAAAAAACACCCTTGATCTGGCAGGGTCGACCTACTAATCCGGGCCGCCTGTAGGGGGAAGGGCGAGGCGAGGGGGGCTTCTGGAACGGTGGGGGGGGGGAGGAGGAGGGGTCAGGGAAGGGGGAAAGAGAGAGAGAGAGAGGGAAGGAGGAGGGATGCGACGCCGCAGGGGAACGTCCCGCGAAGCGCCAGGCGCGCACCTCAGAAGGAGGCGGGCCCACCACAGAGGAAGCAACGACTGCATAAACATACACTTCTGGCGCTTCGTGCGGAATTCTTGGATCTGCGCTGAGCCCCCCCTCCCTGGCGCGCGGAACGCACCAAGGGCGGCGCCGCCAGGGGGGCCCAGCGCGGATCCAAGAAATCCGCGCGGACCGCGAAACGCCTATGTTCATGCCGTCTTCTTCTTCTTCGACACCAGGCCACCCGCCCCCAAACGCCAGCCACAAGCCCACCGAAAGGGCCACGGGCTCAGGGAGGGAGCGGGTAACAAAAAGGGTGAGGCAGCGGCGGCGGCGGCCCCTGAAATTGAAGCACGGGCCGCGGGGGCGCACGCCTCAGCAAGAGGCGGGCCCACCAGGCCACCCGCCCTAGAAAGGCATCCGCAAATCCACCGAAAGGACCGCGGCCAAGGGCGGGAGCGGTGACAAAATTGCGAGGCCGCGGCGGCGGCGGCGGTCCCTGAGGTTGAGGCATGGGCCGCGGGCCCTCGCGCGCGCGCCGCTCGCCCACGCTCGGACCGACCGCCGAGCCGCAGAGCACGGTAAAGGGTCCTAGACCGGTCCTGCAGGGAAGTTCGGGCCGATTCGGGCCAAGCTCAGGCCGATCAGGGACGAAAAGTCCAGGCCAAGCTCAGGCCGACCAGGGAAGAACAGTCTGACGAGTTTAACAGCCACCATACCTCGCCCAGACGTGGCCAAGTGAATTTCGGGGGTCCGAGGCAAAGGGGCGACGGCGTAGGATAAGACGGCCGTCGCCCTCGCCCTCATGGACAAGGTGCCGACCATCGAGAAACGGCTTTGGATCCCTGAGCGCAAGACACGCACGACGCACAGGTTCAGCTCGTATGTGGCAGTGTTGAGGACGAGCGCCCCATGGTCCAACAGGCGCGAGCGCTCGGTAACAGGAGCCAGCACGCTCGCCATGGTCTGGCTCCACGGCAACATGGGAATGCTCAGCTTGGCCAGTACGCAAGTTCCCGAGCTCGGTGATACTGTCCTGCATGGGCAACTGGGCAGTGCTCGCGGGGCTCAAGAATCGAACGCGCGCAACTTTGGACGTCAGGAGTGGGTACGACGAACATTGGTACGATGCCCAACAACAAGTGCTGCCCAAAACTGGCAGCGGCCGCTGTTGGACGGGCGGCCCTCTGTCCCAAACGGACAGCGACCGCGGCGACGCCGACAACGAACCCTGTTCAGAATGGGCAAGGAGTGCTGTTGGACTTTGCATCCCTTGTTTCCTTTCGCATTGCGATCGTCCCGAGCGACACGTCAGAATGACCCTTCGCCGGAAGTGGGCTTCGATGCGGGCCCACAATGGGTCCCCTGATCGACGAGCGCGGTGCGATCGCAGCGTCTCGCGCGCCTCGCGGGAGGAGGAAGGGGAGGAGGAGGAGGAGGAGGAGGAGGAGGAGGAAGAGGAGGAGGAGGAAGATGAGGAAGAGGAGGAGGAGGAAGAGGAGGAGGAGGAAGCGGAGGAGGAGGGAGGAGGAGGAAAAAAGTGGAGGAGGCGGAGGAAGAGGAGGAGGAGGAGGAGGAAGAGGGAGGAGGAGGAGGAGGAGGAGGAGGAGGAGGAGGAGGAGGAGAGGGAAGATGAGGAAGAGGAGGAGGAGGAGGAGAGGAAGAGGAGGAGGAGGAAGAGGAGGAGGCGGAGGAGAGGAGGAACAGGAGGAGGAAGAGGGAGGAGGAGGAGGAGGGAGGAGGAGGAGGATGAGGAGGAGGAGGAGGAGGAGGAGGAGCTCTTCGTCTGAGGCACCCGCCTCTCAACGGAGTTGCGCCCTGGATCAGTGCTGCAGGCGCGTAGGGCGAAGCCTCCGCTGCCCTGCCCGCTTCGCGCGCCTGTCGCCACAGGCAGATCCGGACGCCGTTCGCGCCGCAGCCGTGCCCGCAGCTCGCGAACGACACGGTGTCTATTAATATATATATCGGATCGGATCGGACCCCTCGGAGGCAGCAGTTCGACGGTCACAGACGCAGAGTGCCTCTAGGATCGGGCTACACCCGAATATAAACCGCGTTGTCACACACTGACGGAAATCGAGGCGCAGGTCTTAACGCCTGCTCGAATCTACGAGTCTCATAATGGCATCCATCGTCCTCGAGTCACATCCTGGGCTTTGCATGGCAGCAGGGGCAGGAAAGGGCGAGCGTCTGGGCGGGTGCGGCTGGCGCTGAGACGGAGGCACGGGCACGGAGGGCCTACGAGGCCTTTTAGCAGGGGGAGGAGGAGGAAGAGGCTCCAGAGGCTCACGAGGCGAGGAGGGGTGAGGAAGCCCAGAGGCCCTGGGAGGCTCAGGGGCGCTACTCAGGCGAGGCTCAGGGGCCTCAGAGGTATTCTGTTCGGCCTGGGCAAAAGTGCGGGCGTGTGCTAACAGCGAAGCTGTCCACATCTCAATACGCGATCGAGTCGATGCACACGACGAAGCTCGCGCGCTCGCACTCGCAGGGGCTCCCGTCGACTGCGCAGTAGCGGGCGTACTCGTCGGAGCACGCGTGGAAGAATAAGTAGCTCTCGTCTGAGCTCCCGTCGGCAGTGCAGTAGCTGGCGTACTCGATGGAGCACGCGTAGAAAGAGAAGTGTGCTGGCCCTCGGTGACTGGTGACTCTGCGATCGTCGATGCAGTCGCTGGGCTCCCCTCGCCTTGCGACGAACGTCCACGTGGCGGTCGATACCCTCTGCCTCCTCGGGACCGCGGCGCGAGCATCAGGCGCGAGGCTTGCTCGCAGGCAGTCAGAGGAGGTGAGCAGTGCGTAACGCCAGTGGCAATCTGTGAATTTATTTGGCTACTCATGTCCACTTCAGCTGTGCTGCTGTCGTAGTATCTGCTGCACTCCCATCGGCAGCAACTGTGGTATTCGTATGAATACAAGAGCTCCATTGCGCACAGCTGTGTCGTATCCAGTGAAATCCGAAAAAGTCTACCCCATCAGCGTGTCCTCGAGCTGCGTCAGCTTTAGGATCCGCTCCATGTGCACCATCGGTCCCTGGCCTGGCTTGTATGCCGCCCCCGACTGGATGAGCGATTCGTGGATCACACTCAGATCGAGATCGGTCCTGGGATTGAAGCTGATCTGCAACTTGCACTGCTCCGAGTTGTGTGTGTCGCTGGCCTTCACGAGCGGTACGAGCTCGGTCACGTACTTGATCTCTAAGAGCTTCAGCTTCTCTCCGAGCGCCGTCAGATTCTGCTGGTTGAGGCCGCCGACGGACGCGCCTTCCTGATGTAGACCTTCGAGCAGACCTGCGAAGGCGGCGGTGCTTATCGTGCCGATCTTCGCCATCTCCGTGTCGATCTGCGAGCCTGTCGTCGACGTGCGAATCTCTTCTGCCTTTTTTACCCATGCTCTCACACGAGCTCGGATCGCCACAACGCTTCTGGAGCCGGGGGAGACCAGGTACGTCTTGATCAGGATTGCGTCGGTCTGCCGGTGTCTCATCGCCACGTTCAGCAGTAGTTTCATTACAATGGGGAACATGCGCTGAATGTCTTTCAGATCCATCTCGTCGAAGTCTAGCTGGTCCAGGTCGACAAGCTTGGACTTCGATCCACTCTGCTGGTCTCCACGCTCTCTGGGCTGGCGGCGGCGGTGCTTGCGAGCTGATGCCACGTCTTGGGCTGCGCTTGCGGGCTCGCCAGCGTTGGGGAGTGAGGCCATCCACGACATACGGCCGCGGCGCAGGAATGTGTACTTCAGCAAAGTGAGCCTGTAGCCCACTCAGATCAGTAAAGGTGAGCTCGCAGTCGTCACTTGGGCAAAACAGCTGCGGGGGGTCGTGCACATCGAAGTTGTTAACTGAGCGATGTTTCAGGCAGCGACCTGAACGATAAGCAGCAGCGAGATGATTGATAGCGGTCTGTCGGCTCGCGAATGTCGATCGGCAGTTTGGGCATTGGTTCGTGATCGTGAATCGAGTGTGTTCGCATATTCGTCCATCTTCGCCTCCCTCCCCACTCATAATCGGATGTTCTCGGAGTGCTTGTTTTGTTTCGGCAGTGAACAGGCATAGCGCACCATCTTCACACAAAAGGCCACACGTGTGGGGGCTGCTCCAAGAGACTGTTGCATCTGGAGCACTGCGCGTTGGAGGTGCAGGCTGCTCTAGCCACCACTTGCGCACACGTGCGATCGCGAACTTGACAAAAACATCGCGACCAGGTGTCGGTCGAAAAACGTCGAGCAGATCATCTCCAATAACATCTAGACATGCACGGCCATCAGCCAGTACTCGCAAAAATTCCATATCTTCAAAAAACTGCTCGCGCCACGGGTTATGTAGATGTGTGGGGCCAGCACGGTCAGAGCGCACAGGGGCACAATCGTAGATCATCGTCTCCGTGGTCTCACATAGTAGCTTTCCAAAAACACAGGCCAACAGTTGAGCGTGGTGTGCAGGTTCACGTGCGACTCGTTGCCATCGTTTGATACGCATGATCTGTATGTCCAGCGACGGTGGAACCATCCTCAGCTTCTTCCAGACTGCAGTAGTAGGAATCGTGCGTGCGACCTCGATCGTGCCAGAGGGGTCGTCGATATCGGCGTGCTGCTTGGTGTATGCCGTGCCTTGAAGGTGTGCGCGAGCATATCTGGCAACACAGGCATCAATC